TAATGGATGTACTTTATATTTCTATTCTCACTGGCTAGGTGACCTTGTTAAACTTCATGATCACTCCAGACGGACTTGGTGATCAGCTGTTAGGGATCGTGGTGGCCAGAGAGAGGCCTGAGTTAGAAGAAGAGAAAAGTGCACTTATTATACAGAGTGCTGATAATAAAAGGTAACTTAGTCATGTTAGTTGGCTGTAAACACCGTTATCTGGTAGACACTAATTGACTTAATATGCTTTTTCGTGTACCACTAAACTTGAAACATGGTGTATTTTGCAGTCAATTTTTTAAATGCAAAATTGCGTCAGGTAATATTTAAAAAAATAATTTACACCAACTATTTGTGGATTTTGAAATCCATAAAGGCAGTTGAAAGAGATCGAAGACAGGATTTTGGAGGTACTGTCATCCTCAGAAGGCAATATCCTTGAGGACGAAACTGCCATTAAAGTGTTGTCATCATCAAAGGTCCTTGCAAATGAGATATCGGAAAAGCAGGTATTTGCATTTGTACTTGTTAAATATTAAAATCGGTGTTAGGACAGTAGGATAAGAAAAAATGGTAGCATGAAAATTGCCATGCTAACATTGGGTGACTAACTTTTCTATTAAAATGGTATTTACCATATTATAAGTGCAATAGGAGTTTTCAATAGCTAATGCTTATATCTATAGTTTATGAATTTGTTTCAATATAAACTATACATGTTTTCATTCATTCCAATAGGCTATTGCAGAAGAGACAGAGAGGCTAATTGATCAGACTCGCATGGGCTACAAACCAATTGCTGTTCATTCCTCGATTCTGTTCTTCTCAATTGCTGATCTTGCAAACATTGAGCCCATGTATCAGTACTCACTACCATGGTTCATTGGTAAGTTTTTTTTACATGAGTATTTTTAGTGAGCTCGTCGTTACATTCTACACGTTTATTCACTATATCCATGGTGACATGTGTGGTTTTATTCATGTATTGGCACCAGGAGACTGCACATGCAGTACATAGCAAACCGTATGTATTAAATAGTATGTGGATAAATATGGTTGACACTAAATCAATCTTGCTTAACATTAGTCTATATTGATCTCTAAAAAAAGTGTGTATATATACTATATATTTAAAATTAGTTGTTTTTTGCAATAGTAATGTAATAGCAGGTTGCATGGGACTGGGATATTGTTCTATATTTATTTTCTGGGCTCTATTACTGTAACTGTACTTGTCTATGGAGCTTCAATATTAAAGTATAATGTGAGTTTCTGCTGCTGCAAATGTACAATTGAGCCTTTATTTCAAAACAATGAGTATGTGTGGTCTAGGACTCTTCATCATGTCCATTGACAACTCTGAGCGGAGTGATGATTTAGCAACAAGACTGGAGAATCTCAAGGATTATTTCACCTATTCCCTCTACTGCAATGTGTGCCGGTCATTGTTTGAGAAGGACAAGGTATTAAACTGTTCTAATTGGTTCAATATTATAGTTCCTAAATATAATACTTACAGTGTGAATTGGCAGTGTACGTGTCTTCTGACACGATGACAAGATACCTGTTAGAATATCTCTTGATGTTTAAAACATTATCAGTGTCTTTTAATGTAGTAACAGGCTATAGGTAGTGTCAATGAGACATTTCTAACTTCATTTATCTACATTGCTATTGTAGAACTGTGAACTAGCAGTGTAATGGTAATATATAATTATACACGTCCAAAACCCTTTACAAACATATTTGGATTTAATTTCTGGAGAGTTGAAGACCCTTTCGTGATTTTTCTCTGATTTTACCTTTTATCATGTTTATGCATGGTTATTGATGCACAGAGTTTTGGTACATGCATTATGTGTGCATAATGCATAGTAGACTGCTCTGCACTGACAGACGGGCAGGCAAACAAACACACACAAAAACAATGAAACATACACGCACATACATAAGTCAATGTATATACATTGTCATGGACATATCAATACCATATCTTGAATAGATATGTTTATGATACCATGTACCAATATCCTGTAAAGTATAACTATGACTATGTTGTTGTTGCACGCAGCTGCTGTTTTCCCTGCTCCTGTGCATTAACCTACTGACTGCAAGAGGGGAGGTGCACAATGATGAGTGGAAATTCCTGTTGACGGGTGGCGTAGGACTCGATAATCCACACTCAAACCCAGCTATCTGGCTTCCATCCAAGGCATGGGATGAGCTCTGTAGGCTGGATGAGCTGCCAGCATTTAACTCAATCAGGAAAACATTCATCCCGCTCAGGGAAGCCTGGAAATCCATCTACGATAGTGTGGTAGGTAACAATGTATGAATAAGACAAGTGTTTTCATTCACTCTGGATGTGTGTATGTGCATGAGTGTGAGTGCGTGCGTGTGTGTGTGTGTGTGTGTGTGTGTGTGTGTGTGTGTGTGTGTGTGTGTGTGTGTGTGTGTGTGTGTTTGAGAGCTATAGGAAGTTTTAAGCCAATGCTTGAAGCACGCATTTCAAATACATTGATTTCTCCCATTTGTGTTCTAATTATTAGCAAACGTTTCCCAGATAGAATGCAGCCATTGGGGTAATGGCTTATTTCAGCACATGCCAACGTTGGCCCAATGTTATATTTAGGTGTCTTTCGTTGGCCCAACAGCTTTTTGCTTAGGGTGTCAATGTTGGCCCAACCAATTCGCATTGATTTCTGTCCAAGCACGTTTTTTCATGCTGTGTCACTTGTATTTTTTAGGAGCCACAGTTTGAAGTCCTCCCTGGAGAATGGGATGACAAACTTGATATGTTCCAGAAACTTCTAGTGCTCAGGTGCATTAGACCTGACAAGGTAAGAATCATGCAGTTGATACGTCATCAAGGGCCATAATATTGTGCTATGTATGGAAAATATAACTTCATAAGATTGATCACATTTTAAGTGTGGCATAATTTAGTAAATAGTATGTCAAGTATGCATATATGCAACTATGACCCAACTTTGGGAGCCAGTTGACTCATGCCACAAGCCTCTGTAGTATATCCAGCAAGGGTACAGGGCAGGGAAGGCTATAACCCACATCTGGCTAGCTGTGCGTCTAATAACAGATATTGGCATAGACTGGAAACAGGTTATGATGTTATTAAGAAAACCTTGCTGGTGATGATGGTGGTTAAAATTCAAACGTGTGGCACTGATTTTGTTTGTCCATGTGCAGATAGTGCCAGCAGTGCAGGAATTTGTCAGTAACAGGCTTGGGAAGAGGTTTATTGAACCACCACCATTCGACCTTCCAAAGACCTTCCAGGACAGCCACTGCTGCACTGCTATCATCTTTGTACTGTCTCCTGGAGCAGATCCAACCGCATCACTTCTCAAATTTGCTGATGACATGGTAATATTCATAGGAAATGAATAGTGACAATGACTAAACATAGAAGTTGGTAGAAATAAGTTTACTTTTCATTTCAAAATCATGAAATGCAGACTCAGTCTGACTGCAAAAGTCTCTCATCATCCCTTTCTAGCTTCTCTATTCTCTAATTATCCACACTTTGCTGTATAGGGATTTGGAGGTGCAAAGCTCAACTCCTTGTCACTTGGTCAAGGTCAAGGACCAATTGCTATTAAACTGATTGAACAAGGTGTAAAGGATGGTTCATGGGTGGTTCTTCAAAACTGTCATCTGGCAGTGTCATGGATGTCAACACTGGAGAAGATCTGTGAGGTATTGTGGAGCTCTGATGTATTATAAGTAAACGTTAATTTTGTTGTTTAGCAAGTTTGTCTAAATTAATATTTTATCTAGACACTGGACATTTTATTACACCAACTATAGATACATTATATTATGCTATATATTATTTTGCCAGCAGTGTAATTAGCATTATATGTGTGTTATACATGTTATATTCTTAAAATAACTTCAACATAATTGACTGTTTAACACTGTTCTATTCAAAAATACATTTAATGCGTGAATGGCTGAATTTTTGGTACTCATACGGATTTTCCCCCTCTATATAACAATAAACTGATACGTTGTACCATCCAGGAACTCACCCCTGAGACAACTCATCCAGACTTCCGGCTCTGGCTCACAAGCTATCCATCTGAGAACTTCCCAGTGTCGGTGTTGCAGAATGGTGTGAAAATGACGAATGAACCTCCGAAAGGACTGAGAGCTAATGTTATCCGATCCTACCTTAGTGACCCAATATGCGAGGCCGAGTTCTTCCAGGGCTGTACAAAGCCTGTGAGAAATCTTCTGTTTCACTAGATAAGGATAATCACTTGTGATAAACTCGTAAAAAAACCTTTGTTCTTGCTCGTATTGATATATTTTATATCGTGTCTTACCTTACGTACGATAGTCACGTAGTGATAACAGATGCGTTCTTTAACATGTGAAGACCTTGTCTTCTTTTCTTCTTTTGCAGACAGCCTTTAAGCCTCTGCTGTATGGGCTGTGCTTCTTCCACGCATTAGTGCAGGAGCGAAGGAAGTTTGGTCCTATCGGCTGGAATATTCCCTATGAGTTTAACGAGACGGACCTGAGGATTAGTGCCCAGCAACTGCTCATGTTCCTTAATCAGTACGAGGTCGGTGTGCAGACTCTACTAGCCCCCCGTTGGGCATATTTACCAAAGAGATTCCTAATTTTCCTTGTCCTAGTCCACCTAATGTTCGAAAATTATGGATGTGAGACATATCTGAATGTCAACGGTTTTTAAGTAAAAATTTGCCCCTAAGCCCTCAGGAATATGTTTTGTCGTCACTAAGAACGTGCGTTCTGTGTGTAGGAGATACCGTACGATGCGATCCGCTACCTAACTGGCGAGTGTAACTATGGTGGCAGAGTCACCGATGACTGGGATCGACGTACGCTTATGACGCAGCTGAATCGCTTCTACTGCAATGGCATGCTCTCAACCAGCTACAATTTCGAACCAAGTGGAGTGTTTCACGCCCCACCAGATGGAGATGTAAGCTCGCATGTTGGTTCCCAGAAAAATCTCTGTATCTTCATTTACAAACTATGATTATTGTTGAATGCAAATAATGCTGAATGTTGTTTCTCCCGTGAAGATGATAAATGAGATGCCCCCTGTTTATTTATCCATCATAGTTAAGGGTTTACTTGAAGGGTAATGCAAATAACATGATGTCTGGTAGATCTGTGGGTTACACAGACTTATACAACATTATATAGCACTTAGCATAGTCATCACTATGGAAGTGGTGATCTAGCACCTGCAGATAGATCTTAGTGGAGCATTATAATGTACGAGCTGCCTCGGCGCCTCGCGATCCGGTGAGAAAATGCCCATGTATGGAACTATATGCTACTAATATTTGTGGCAACCATAATCAGATTATGGACATGAAGCTGAAAAATAATTTTACTTGATTGATTGTTTTCATTGTTATTGATGAAATCATGTCATTAATGTTTTGCTGTATTATTGTGTTATTAGTATGATAGCTACATCACGTACACACGCAGCCTCCCAATAGTCACTCCACCAGGTGTATTTGGCATGCATGCTAATGCTGACATCACTAAAGATCAGGCAGAAACAAAGCAGATGTTTGACAACATCATGCTGACTCAGGTAACGTACATACTTGTCATCATTCTTCTCTTCAGTAATTAATCTTTTATTTGAATAAATGCATCATGATTTGAGTAAATAACACATGCTAATAGTACTCTATAAACGCCTAACTTTGAGAATGTAGTGTAATTCAAGAATTATATGTTACTAATTGCTAAATAAATTAAAGAAAGAGTATTGTTGTTAAAGGCTAGCATATATTTAGTTAATGAACTTAATTCACTAATGACTTTTTAATATGCTGTGCAGATCAAGGTGGCAGATGGATATCGGGTATGACAGCTCAACTGTGTCTTAATGTGAAGTGTTTCCTTGTCTTCTAGCTGCCTCTGTATATGCTATTAGATGTTTTCTAATGCATTTCCTATACATTACTATTGTGTAGAACCCATTCCACTGCATCTTATATTAGTGGAGATCTTGTGCCTTTGTAGGCAAAGTGTATGCTTGATTAGTGTTCGTCTTCGTTGGTATCTATACCGTGTTGATTATGGTTCTGTGCTTTGGTAGTTGATCCTCTTCATGATCATTCTAAGTGGGACATGAAGCTGTAGGGCTTTAGTTGCCTGTTTGTTTGCTCACATGCACACGCACACGCACACACAATCCTCAATTGTCTGCCGGGGGACAATGTGGCCAATTAAATGTGTATAAGCAATGTGGTGGCACTTTTGCTTGGTTTCAGAAGAGTTTATGACTGGAATCAACAGGTTACTTGGAAGATAGTAACATTCTTTTCACTAAATTTGTTATTGTATAATAATGTTACATGCGCGAAGGTAAACGATTGGTTGCGTAGCCGTTTGCTGAGACAATTGGCCAAGATTTCACACATGCTCTATGTATCCGTGTAAAATTATCGATTTTAATGCATGAATAGGTTTCAAAACAAAAACCTGTGTGGTAATCCTGTATCAGTCAATACATCTCAACGAAGAGGCACCATCAACAAAGGAGATCAATGACAGCATGGGAAACCATTTCATATCGAATTTGAAAAAATACAGTTCATGAGCATTAGTTTGCATTAGCACAATGAGTGATCATACCTAGCTACTATATCTAAATATCAAACTTAACGTAGGTACACGAGGTGATTATGTAATTTTGGAACCATAACTTGTAGATGAACTACCCAGTATACTTTTTACACTGGTATAAACGGTACCTGTGTAACACTCTGACTCACTCTGTTTACACACTTGGTTCAATTTGCTGTAGATCTACTGTCATTTGCTTTGTTTGTCTGTGTGCTTGGTGTCTTTTTGCATGTTTCATTTACTCCCAAACTTTCCTTCATTACCTAAAATTTCCCCTGTGTATATAGTTTAATGTAGATAAATGGAAAATTATGTATGTTATTTTATTTTAACTATTAGAGTGTTAGCTCCTAATAAGATTTGACAGATAATACACAGATTCACAAATAGTAGGGATATAAAACAAATTTATTATTGATAAGTATATTGTGCAGCTGTCGCGTCTGTTTTCGCATTATTGTATCCCCCGCGACGAAGTCGGCGGGGATACTATGGTTTCATGTCTGTCCAGCCGCCGCCGCTCGCCGCCGCCGCAGACACTTTCCCTTCCGCTCTATAACTCTACCCTTGATTGACCTAGCATGACCAAACTCGGTATACTTACACATCTTGGGGAGAAGGTGCGCAGCGTACCAAAACCAGGTCACTACGACCTTTATTTGACCTTGACATTGATCTTGATCATATTTCCCTTCTGCTCTATAACTCGGCCCCTAATTGACCTAGCGCTACCAAACTTGGTATACTTACACATCTTGGGGAGAAGGTGTGTCGCGTACCAAAACCAGAGCACTACGACCTTTATTTGACCTTGACATTGATCTTGATCATATTTCCCTTCCACTATAACTCGGCCCCTAATTGACCTAGCGCTACCAAACTTGGTATACTTACACATCTTGGGGAGGTGTGTCGCGTACCAACACCAGGTCACTGTGACCTTTATTTGACCTTGACATTGACCTTGATCATATTTCCCTTCCGCTCTATAACTTGGCCCCTAATTGACCTAGCGCTACCAAACTTGGTATACTTACACATCTTGGGGAGAACGTGTGTCGCGTACCAAAACCAGGTCACTACGACCTTCACCTTGATCATATTTCCGTTCCGCTCTATAACTCGGCCCCTAATTGACCTAGCGCTACCAAACTTGGTATACTTACACATCTTGGAAAGAAGGTGTGCGCCTAGGCAACCAATTTTAACATACTTTGCACATCTCAGGCAGATGAGTTGTGTAACAAACCTTTGTCTTTGTGACTTATTTAACTTTACCTACCTTCTACGTCCTTACAGAGTTTCATTCATACTAGATCACGGGGGATACATGTAGTTGGCGACAACTGCCCTTTCTAGTTTATTATGGGCTTTATTTTATCAATTCTTTCACAAATACTTCAGGCAAAAGCATCTTCAGCAGGAGGAAAATCCAGTGATCAGGTTGTCTCTGAAGTGGCAACCGACATTTTAGCAAAATTACCACGTAAGTTATATTATACATAGTAGTAATTGATTTATTATATCTGATCTAGATAAGGATGGCAGCAGGAGTGGTGGTTGTATACTAACACATTGTCACAAGCAGCAGTAGCCTGAGTGTGTTGATTATGACATTTTGGAGCTGAGACACAAACGAATTCATAATCCTAGTGTCTAGGTATTGTGTAGTTATACATGCATTTGGTATAGTGATAACCTATTCCAATGTGCTTTGCAGCGAATTTCGACACTGACTCAGTGCTCCGCAAATATCCAACACAATACACACAGAGTATGAACACCGTGCTCGTGCAGGAGATGGGAAGGTTTAACAAGCTCCTCTCCACTGTACGCTCAAGTCTCATCAACATACAAAAGGCCATTAAGGTATGCCGATGTGATGCTTAATCTAAAGTCCAGTCTAGAATATAAATGGCTGTGACAGGGAGAGTAATCATAGAAACTACTATATCAGTATATGGCATTCAATTCTGTCCTTTGAATTATATCTGTTTTAGGAAATACTAAAGTATATCTATTTATTTAGGACAATCAAACTCTTAATTTCTATTGTATTTGTTAACGTTTTTCTAACGTGTATTGTTCTTATAGAATTTTCTAGTATCCAGTGTACAGACTTCACTGTCAGGGTTGTCACTTTTAGTTTTCTAAGCATCAAATAGATTGTATTTTCTGTATTCCGGACACTGTCTTCGGTGCGTTTTGTACACAGTAAAATAAGGTGATATGCTCAACAGTACACATTCTCACATACATGGCAATTACTAAGTGACACCTAATTTTGTGGCACTGCAGGGTCTTGTTGTGATGTCATCAGAGCTAGAAGAAGTGTTTGTGAGTATTCTTAAGGGCAAAGTGCCAGGCATGTGGATGAAAAAGAGTTACCCATCATTGAAACCCCTTGGAAGCTATGTCAGTGATTTTCTGGCTCGTCTGAAGTTCCTCCAGGTATCAGCATAGATACTTAAATATAGTGAGAATATCGTCAAAAGCAGTTTTCGCTCTTTCATGCTGTGGCCATCCTCTAACAGCATAATTAATGATTTAGCAAATAGAAACTGCATACATCATACTCTGAGTATATCAAAACCTAATAATGTGTGCCTAATCATGTAACCTAATTTGTGCTAAACCAGCATTGTATTTGTAGAAAGAATGTTTATTATCATTTCTTGCACTTACTGGGCACCAAGATATTTCTAATTCATCGTGGTAGCTATAACTTTTATGTTTGTGTAAAATAATAATTTATCTTGATTTATTCTTTACTCTAGGACTGGTGTGATGATGGACCTCCCAGTGTGTTCTGGTTGTCTGGCTTCTATTTCACCCAAGCCTTCCTCACCGGAGCTCAACAGAACTACGCAAGGAAGTACACCATTCCCATTGACCTGCTGGCATTTGACTACGAAATTCTGGAGGACCGGGAGTACACGAATGCACCGGAGGATGGTAATAATTAAAAATACAGTGTCTCTCTTCTACCTGCAATTTCTGCTCTTCTTCATGCTATTTCAAAATAATATATACCTACCAAAGCAAAATGTACATAAGTTGGTGATATGTGTAAACAATGGACACGTGTAAGGCATGTATAGACATATTGAGAAGCACATTCATATATGGTGTCATGGCAGCGCATATACATCTCGATTAAAAAAAACCTGCAATAGGAGTAACGACTGTATGCAATTTGAAACATGTGGGTCAAACGGTTCTTGAGTTATTGTTGACCATAGGCAGACACTGAAATGCATAGTGAATTGCTAAAATCGACCTAATTTGCATAATTAAAAAAAAATAAAAACCCGTGTGATATGTTTTGAGGCCAGTCCTTATTCATTCACATACCAGAAATGAGCTAAATCAGTTGATCCTGAACTGACTTATGGCCATTTCCATTTTTGCCAAAAAGTGGATGTGGCTCGAAAGTAGGTCGACTGGCGTGCTCCAAAATAGGACGTTCAAACCTCTCCCATAGGAGTAACAACTATATGCAATTTGAAACATGTGGGTCAAATGGTTCTTGAGTTATCGTTGACCGTAGCCAAATGTTGACGGACGGATGAACGGACGGACGGACGTAGGACGACACCCCATGGCAATAGCTCATCTTGACGATGTCAAGGCGAGCTAAGTGAGCTCAGGGAAGTTAGCTCCCAGTTCCTTATTCGAATAAGGAACTAGTAACTAGGCAAAGCAGTTATAAGCAGTTACCAGTTCCAGGTTCGAATGCATACATTTGAACTTATTCAGTTACCAGCTTCGAAACTAAGTTACTTATTCGGCTAATGGCCGTTAAATTGATCTATTTGGCCCTTTACAAGGTCCTAAAAGTCATTCAGAACCAAAATTGACCCTTTGTCGGCCCAGTTACAGTTCGCCCTTGACCCAGCTACTTATTCAGTTAGCATAGTTCGAAACCTAGTTACGTATTCGCCTATGCCGTTAAATGATCTTATTTTGGCCTTTACAAGGGTCCTAAAAGTCATTCAGAGCAAATTAACCTTGTCGCCCAGTTACCAGTTCGCCACACAGCTACTTATTCAGTTACCAGTTCGAAACCTAGTTACTTATTCGCCTATAGGCCTTTAAATGATCTTATTTGGCCCTTTACAAGGTCCTAAAAGTCATTCAGAGCCCAAATTAACCCTTTGACGCCCAGTTACCAGTTCGCCAGTTTAGTTTACCAGCTGGGTATCGAATTGGTAACTGATTAAATAAATGTGTGCCAAAGGGTTAATTTGGCCGAATAAGGCTAATAGTAATTTTGCCTAGTTACCAGTTCCCAATTCAATGTTGCATTTCGAACTGGGAACTGGTAACTGCTTTGCCTAGTTACTAGTTCCTTATTCGAATAAGAAACTGGGAACTGGGAACTGGGAGCTAAGTTCCCTGACCCCTAAAAATGCAGGTATATATTATTTTCTATGCAAAAGTATCATATTACTTTCAAATGTTATAGCAACGTCCCTTTTTAATTTTTTTGTAGGCGTCTACATTAAGGGATTGTTTGTTGATGGAGCCAGGTGGGACCGCAAGGCTGGGCATCTTGCTGAATCTATGCCAAAGGTTCTTTATGATCCCATGCCAGTGGTGAGTTTACCGATGTATATATTTTATTCAAAAACATTCATATTGTAAGTTCATAAATAGTTTCATTCAATCTCTCATATACATAACAGGAGCTGACAACATATTAAACTGCTAACATGTTTTAAGGTGCTAATCTAGTAAGCTAGTTTCATGTATCCATTTCAAACAGTGAAACACTTAGTTGCCTGTCATGCAGTCTATGTATCTTTCTATATATGTGACCCGCTCCAGCAAAACCAGGATTAAGTAGGAAATTCTACAAATTGAGTTATGTGCATATCTGAATTGATCATTTAATTACCTTTAAAATGATATATAATATTGGGCTATATCTAAAGAATTGACCGATCTACAGCAATTTGAAGATCGAAACCCGACTTATTCCGGAATATGCAGCTTTTGAGATAAAGCGTTCCGAGTAAGGGGCCCAGTCGGGGATGAGCGGTCAGGGGCCCTTCAAAATATTTTTTTTTTTTTTAATTAAAAATTACCATAATAATCTAGAGATATCTGAACCTATATATCCGGATTAAATATGCACTTAGGAACTTTTTCTTTTTTTAATCTCATTTTTGTCCAGGTAGGCCATTTTCAGCATTGACATGTGTGCGTGCTCATTACTCAAAACAATGACTTGCGACTTAGTCCGTATTATGCTGGAGCGGGTCACATATTATAAGTGAATGTCTTTACAAAAAGTAGATTCTTGTAGTGGCTCATACAAACTTAAAATTTGCTTAATTTTTATATATAAACTCATCTGACCTCTTCAGATACAGCCATGAAAATCACATTTTGGTCAACCCTAACCCTAACCCTTCCGTCTAACAGTCACCAAAACCCTAATGACTTTGTGTACACTGCTCGTTTTGTGTATAAAATGGCAAGTGAATAAGACAATCAAGGTCAAGGCTTAAGGTGCAAATAAAATTCCCCTCTTATAGGACAGGTCGTGCAGCCTGCACTACAGCAAACCTCAAAGTGGCTTCATCTATCTACAGTTCCTATTCATGATTAAGAGTCCTGGGGAGGAAAGCTGTCCTTTGTGCAAAACTAAACCAGGATTGGCTCAAAGAGGGCAATTCCAAATATGTTTTTACAATTTGGCCCCCAAACACATTTTTTTGAATTAATATTGACCTAGCCTTTGCATAGGTATCTTGAAAGGGCAATGAAATGTACTACTAGTACATCTATTTAGCTTCGTTCACCACAGATTTAGCACTGTAATATCTATTTTCAAGGCAACTATAAAGTCATGCATCTCCTCATATGTGACTTTAACAGATGTGGCTCAAGCCAATAAAACGAAGCGATATTGTTGATCGACCCAGCTACCTAGTACCTGTGTATAAGACAAGTGAGCGCAGAGGCACACTTTCAACCACAGGCCATTCTACCAACTTTGTCATCTCCATGAGGATTCCCTCCAACATGCCTGAAGCACACTGGGTCTGCCGTGGAGTTGCTCTGCTTTGCCAGCTAGACAACTAAAATATGTACATTACAGCAGCAGTAATGTACATAAGGTTTAGCTTCTATGTAATCAGTCAGATAAGAATCATCAGATGTGGTGTACAAACTAGGGCACTCACTGATCATAGGGGATGATCCTTCTATGAATCTGCTGGAATTTAATTACAAGTGGTTTTCAGTATAACAAGCTTTAAAGTCTGGTCTTTATAAAATAATATAAGGAGTGAATAAAAACAAATTCAACAACAAAAAATGTTTTTATTCACTCCTAATAATAGTTTTTGTTACTACAAATAAATTTATTTGTGTATAATATCATTTAAAACTACCATAATTCAAGAAATAAAACCGTGTTACACAAGAAAAGATAACAGTAAGCTGTCAAAATATCTAATCGTCATTAGTATATATTAGCCGAAATTGGTATTATTTTATAAGTGTTGTCGTATTACCAAATATGAATAAATAATATATGACAAGTAAGTACAAATGTCTTATGAGTACCATGTTTCATTCCAAAGTGTGAATGTATATTTATAATTGCGTATTTCAATGGATATAACGATTTTTGTCAGTTTATGTACCAAGCAAAACATTTAAAACATCTCATTTTCCTCACATTCGTTAGAAAGTATTTATATGTTATTTATATTACATACACTTCTGATTCACCTAGGTGAATTCTAGGTATGCTTAATGATATCATTGATATTTTGTTTCACATCAAATGAAAATAATTAGGCTATATACAGTAAGTAAGTAGCAAAGGCAATAAGCAGTAAAGTAGTACCTTTACAGTAATAATTGTAGTCACGAAGGTTATCTATAGCCTAAACCTTGCTTGCTCATGTATTCAGCTTTGATTTGTTCCCGATCTTCTGGTAAAGGAAGGTTTGGCTGAATTCCTTTCCTCTTTCTATCAATTCTGACACTGTTCTGGAGGACAAAAAAAACAATCAAGGTAAATTGAGTTAACATATAACTTTGGTATTTTTTTTTAGCCTAGATACATCAATGTCACTTGATCCCTAATGATACATTGAATGATAAATAAAGAAAGACTGATAATCTTAGTTTGTATGTACTGCACACAAATGTTTTTTTTATCACAAGATGAACTGTCACGAAAACTAACATATTTGATCTAAATGACAATTGGTGCAAATAAAGCTGGGTTTACACTCGCAAATTCGACGAGTTGATGAGTTTTTTAACGTTCTATCGGAGTGGCTGAGTGGCAAAAACTTGATCAACATGCTGACCGAAAGTTGAAAGAAATGGAACCTGTTCTAATCCCTAGTTGAGAGATTAGAACAGGTTCCATTTTTTTCATAACAACTAGTAGTTGTTATCAGCTTGTTGAGCGCTCAAATTTTACACTGCCGACTTTCGGTCACTTAGTTGGAAACGGAAAGTTACCTATACATCAGTGTCACCTGATTCCTTATGGTACATTGAACGATCAATAAAAAAAGACTCGTCATCTTTAGTTTGTATGTACTGCACACGAATGTTTTTTATCGCAAGATGAACTGTCAGGAATATCTAGCACATTTGATCTAAACGACAACTGGTGCAAATAAAGCTGGGATTACTTTATGGAGAATTCGACGAGTTGACACTGCCGACTTTCGGTTGCTTAGTTGAAAAGTTTACGAGCTCATCAACTCTTCAGCAAAAAGTTGATAGTGTAAACCCAGCTTAACACGTTGTTTTTTGTTACTGTACGAACAATTTTCTGGCAGATACAAAGATTTAGCAGAAATGGACTTTTATGTAATATATAAACTTTAAAATAATGAAATTCTCTCACTATTTCTGCTAACATTTATATATTCAAAAGGCATAATATTACTTGCATTTAAACAAGAATTGACCTATCCACCTAGCATGATTGACAGCCAACGCTTGCCAACCACTGGTGTAACGGAATGTTCTAAACATAGGATTAACTAAACATTTGCTCACCCAAAATGCCTTGCAGTTGTTATAGTTTACGAAATAGTTGTTACATGCTTCCTGGTCAAAGTTTTTGTTGTTTAGGCACTTGTAAGTCAATTTTTGCTCCTGTAACATAGATTTAACAATCTTTCACAATTTTTCTGGATAGCATGCAGCCACAGACTACCCTAGCAAGGTTGTGCAGTTGCACTTAAATTTATATGCAACACGCAAGTTTTTTATAAAAACTTTTCAATAAATAAAAACTACAATACTATAAAAATTTATCTCCTCCAAGTCATGATGGGGAAACATCCGAACAGATGTCGCTCAAGGTTTCTTTTAGTTTATTGTATCCCCCGCGACGAAGTCGGGGGGGATGCTATGGTTTCATGTCTGTCTAGTCACCGCCGCCGCAGACACTCCCTTCCGCTCTATAATAACTCGACCCTTAATTGACCTAGCTCGGCCAAACTTGGTATACTTGTGTGCATCTTGGGGAGAAGGTGTGTTAGCGTACCAAAACCAGGTCACTGCGACCTTTATTTGACCTTGGCCTTGACCTTGATCATATTTCCCTTCTGCTCTGTAACTCGGCCCCTACTTGACCTAGCGCAACCAGACTTTGTATACTTACACGTCTGAGAGAGAAAGTGCGCATTGGCACCTCTCTTTGACCTCTAAGGTGCGTTCACACGAACGTTTTTAGCCCGAGCCCAATTAGGCCCGCGCCAAATTTGGCTCGAGCCGAGCGTTCACACGTACGGTTTTTCAGGCCGTGCTAATGTGGCACGAGCCAATTTGGTCCCATCGAAAACGCCGGACCAGGCCCGAGCCAAATTTTAGCACCAGAAACAGAAACAGAAACACCAGCTAAATCGGTTGAGCGGTAGATGCCGCGAGTGTCGAACGTGTACTTCGACGAAATAAAGTCCAAAACGGTATAAAAATTCGAAAAATTTGATCAGGACGCACGTTTTCAAGATTGATAATGGAACTCGGAACGGAAGTAAACACTCTGAATCGTACACAACGCCATCTCGCGACATACTGCCAAAGTATCTGTGAGATATTTGTGCAATAAAATTTATTTGAATTGACAGACAGTATTCACTTGCGTACGTGTGAACGCTCCGACTCAAACCGGCCCGAGCCAAATTTGGCCCGAGCCAAACCATGACCGTGTGAACGCGGTATTACTCTGGACTTTGAAGATAATCTCTCCGACTTTTCGTTTAACCCTATCAACATGCGTCCATACGGAGATATTTCATTCATACTAGATCGCGGGGGATAGTTGGCGACAACTGCCATTTCTAGTTTTAAGTTGAAATGTACATATAGTAGGTTTTTACAAGTTTTATAAACATGGTAGACGAGTTATAAACCACATAATATACGAAATTATCTAAATTTGATATTGGTCTGTTACTTCACACACCTTGCTGCAATGTATCACATATCTTGTAGTTGTAGCATCGAAAGATTAAACCATAACCCAAAGGCAGGATAATTGCACAAAAACACTGCACTGTTACTTGGGAGCTGAGAACTCATAATGGTAGGATTGCAGGAGCAACGTTGTCATAACCAATGGCCCTAATATAACTTTAGCATGTTGCCTCTTACGAGAATTGTTTGTGAAGCACTATGAAGTTTATTGCTATTTATAAAACACTAAAACAAAAATTGTGTTTGCTAAAACTCTTCACTGCAATTTGCATAACTGGAGCTTGTTGTGTTGTGCTGAAATGTGTTTGCCTGATTATACAGGGATGGGAATCTTCCGCGGATCTGTGGGAATCCGCGGATTTCACAGTCCCAGGGTCGATTTTGTGAATCGTCTAAATCCGTTGAGAGAAAATTTTAGGGGGTTAGAATCGATCGATCGTGTACATCAAAGGTCGCCGCGTCACGCGTGACCTTGAGGCTCCCTTTTATGAAGTACGAACTGTTTCACTTCTCGCCAACGAAGTTCTGTTTATAATACCACCATAAAAGGTGGTGTGCGAGCTGCTTTTTTCGGTGACCTTTGAAACGATAAAAAATTAATGTTGGCGCGATCGCGCCTAGCTCCTAGGGTTGTAGGAATATTATATCGTGTGCGCAAGGGAGGATTTTTGGGCAACCTTGGCGTAGCAAATAAAGCGTTTCCTTTCGCTGATGTCTGATCACTGTGGGCTCACAGACTTGCCTTGGCAGCAGGAAAGCCGCTAAAGGTGTTCAATATGATAAAATATCTACTGTATTGACAGAAAAAATTTGAAACTGCCTGGACAATAAACATCTTATATTATATAAAGGTTAGCCTTGGGACAGTGTGGAAGTGTACATTAAAAAATTTTGTTTGCAGAATGTAAGTAAATTTTGTATTGATTATATAATTCTGGTGTTATGATAATGACAGTGCAAGATATACAGGGATGAGATTAGATAATTTAATTTTCAGCTGACATTTTAATTAGCAAACAGAGGAGGCGAGCAATGCGAGGACCGTAGGTCATTCTTTTTAAAGAATGGTGCAATTTGGTGGCATTCTAAGCTATTCTGAACAAATTATAGGAGACTCTTGAATCACTTTTCAAGTTGTCAAAAGGAACAACACGAACTTAATCAAATTGTGGGGGGGGGCTGAAAATAGGGCAAGTTTTGTTATTAAATGTCTAGACATAATATATTTTATGTTCCCCACCGCGTCCTGCACTGTTTTACTCAGACATAAGCTGCCTTGCTGCGACCAGATTTGAATGAAAAAAACACAATGCGAATGGAACAATCAGTGCATAGTCATGCACAGAACATGCACGCAGCAACATGTAGAACCGGCCCCCAGGCCGCGAAATTTTTTTTCCCAAACGGTATAACTAGCGAGAATTTTAGCGCCTTCTGATTGGCTGCTCGATTTGCTTTGCCTTTGACAAGAGAACAAACGCCCATGTGGTAACATAGCGAAGAATTGCAATTATTTTGCATAATAACCCTAACCCTAACCTAACCGCTAACCCTAACCCTAACCCTAACCCTAATCCTAACCCTAACCCTAACGCTAACCCTAATTTAATTAATTAACACTAATAAATGATAATGAAATTATTAAAAAAAAAATTTTCATTCAAATATTTAATTGTTGTAAATCAATCATGCAAATATTCCGTTAATTAGAAAACAATAGTTAAATGGATAAAGATAGAAAATACAAAACAAAAAAATAATTAAAAACCAAACCGGATTCGAACCAACGACCTTTCAGAAGTAACGACGGTGGCCAATCCACCACGCCACAGCAGGATATATAAGAAACAGTACATGACATATGCTAAATAAGCAAAGCAGCCTGTTTGAACAATCAGGAGGCAGGATGAACCAATCAGAACCAATCAGAAGGCGCTAAATTCTTCGCCTATGTTATACGTTTGGGACAAAAAATTTCGCCCCCAGGCCAGGCATCGTCGTTACGTGATCAGCTACCTCAAATGTTTGCCCCTCTACTGCAGCCTGTGACGAGGATTTCCTTTTCTGGTACGCAAAAACAGATACACTGTATACTTCGCTGTCAGCCTACTGTCTACACTCTACAGTCTACAGTCAGTGGCTGTTGAGGGTATATAATTTAAATTGTTACATTGTTACCCCTTCCCAATTTTCTCACGAATTTAGACCGTTTCACAAATCGACCCCTGGGACTGTCAAATCCGCGGATTTCCGCGGATCCGCGGAAGAATCTCATCCCTGGATATACTCCCTGCAGTGTACTGTAATATGTTCTGTAACAATTCTGTTCTGTATGTGTCTCCTAATGCAATTTATGCCTTGTAAGTTGTGAAAATTCAAAAACTTCCTGAACCCCCTGACCAGGCTTGCGCCTGGACCTGACCGCCCCCCCCCCCCGCGCTGGACCCCGGCTATTTTCAGCTGAAAACACAAATTGTCATTCATCCCTGATTATATTTAGTGCTCAGTGACACTGACAGCAAAGACCATAAACAATAAGACGAGACACGCGCTATGCTACTCCCATGTTATGTTCCATGTTAAACGAGTCTACTTTCTTAGCATTACATATACATGCATTACATTTAGCATTGACCTATGCAATCAGTTTATATTTGTGGCCTCGTGTGCTGCTGACTCTACATTGTAGATATAAGGACACATCTTGGTTGTAGTATGAACATCTTGTATGTTATCATGTCTCAGTGGCGACGTCTATAAGCTAAATTATACGCTAAGAAGTCATTATTTCATGTGCTTTGCATATTCCTGTATGAACATGCCATTGACTGTGTCATACGGCTGCCTATTTTAAAACTAATGCTCATAACATTTGCACAACATTTTTAAATAGAGTACACAACAATTCAGTGTCAACAGTGTTACTTTTAACGATTAAACATGGTAAATATCATCATGCTAATGATCTTTCCATGGATATTGCTGCTGGTGATCACAGAAACACCTCAAACCTCAAAAAGACAACTTCTTAGCTGCTACATGTTTAGAAGGCTCATGGCACGCATCACAGCTTTCAATGCCTCCCTCTCTGTTTGTTGGCGCTCATTACTACTACTAGTTGTAGCATATAGACTAATAGTAATACTAGTAATAGTCTATAATAATTTGTATCCCGCTTGACCAATATTTCTTTTCCTCAGTGCCTTGTCTTATTGTACTACCTTATTTGCTGTCAGTTACACTTATATTAGAATGCATCTGCACTGTGTGGGCAGTGTGTTGGTGGATGAGTATTTGAACTAGTAATAGTATAATCACATCTCTGGAATATCTCACATCCCTGGAATGCTGGGCGAAAACTGGGGGATGCAGTTCAATGCAAAGAAGTGTCATATCCTGAAGCACTAGAAACACGTCTCAGTATATGTACAGCCTCTGTGGGCGAATACTCAAGACCGTGAGACCAATCCATACCTAGGTGTTCAGTGGCCAATGACCTCAAACGGTACCACCACATCTCAAGCGCTACCAGGAAAGCATCGGAGGTGTCCACAGCAAACCAAGCGTATTGCATATCTCAGCCTATAGTGCGACCCATAATGGAGTATGGTGCAATAATATGGGACCCATACCAGCGACAGGACATAGATCGACTAGAAAAGATACAACACCGTGCAGCCGCTTCATCACAGGGACTACCACAGCAGAAACTCCAGGCTGTGTTACAGGCATGCTCTCGTCCCTACAGCTGCAAAGCCTCCAAAACCGCCGCCGTGATATGCGACTAACCTATCTCTACAGAATCATCGGAGGGTTGGTACCAGCAATGCCCCCGTCAGATTTTCTACAACCAGTTCAAACCAGTAATAGTGATAGAGTGGTACCACCACAGGCACTTGGAGTGCTTCAATAAAATATAATGCTAAATAAATACGAAATCTATTTACTACCAAAGTCTTAATGTTTCTCTACTCTCTTTCATCTATTATTGCCGACAATTTCCTGCAAATGCCGTCCAAATGCTCATCTGCAAAAACGCTGCTGCGCCATGGCTGCAGCTGCCACACTGACACATAAATATATAAGCAGGTAGGAAAGCGTGCTGCCAAAATTCGCTCGACGCTCGCTTGATTTCACACGAATACAAACACAAAATATTCACCATTCTACTCCATCTTTGTTTCTATTTGAAGAACAGTGTTTATTTGTTATAAAAACATACTGTCTGTGTTCGTAACCGAGCTGTGCACGCGAAATCACACAAAGCCTGACGAAATTCTCGCGTTCGCTCTCCCGTTGCGCAGTTTATGTAAATGGCTGCAAGTACAGGCTATAGTCTAGGCGGCGCACTGCATTTTGAGACTACCACGCTGCTCTTCCAACTCCCGTACGAGCCTGCGTCAAAGCCGCCAGTGGAGCGTTGCAAAAACGTTGCACGTTGCGGCGCAAAAATGAGGTCCACGAAGAGCGCTGGTGGTGTGTTTCCCGATTCTGACAGCCATTTACATAAACTGCGCAACGGGAGCAAACGCGAATTTTGTCAGGCTTTGTGTGATTTCGGCGTGACAGCTTTGATTGGCCTGTTGTGCAATCAATGTAAATGAAGCGCGGCCGCTCGGTATCTTAGACTGGGTGCGTCTAAAGATACGAGCGCCGCGCGCTGCATTTACACTGATGCACGCCGGGCCGTGAGTTATCTGTATAATATGTCAGTGACAGTGTGCAGCGGCAGCCAGCGTTTGTTGCAGATGAGCATTTTGGACGGCATTTGCAGGAAATTGTCGGCAATAATAGGTGAAAGAGAGTATAGAAACATTAAGACTTTGGTAGTAAATTATTACTAAAGTAAATAGATTTCGTATTTATTTAGCATTATATTTTATTAAAACGCTCCAAGACTGTGCCTGTGGGTACCACAGTAACTGCGGACAGTGCTGAGCAATTTACATCTATGCTCAGCCAACATCAATTTTAAAATAATTAGCCCTCTCTCCCGAGTCCGTTGCCTTGATGCCAAATTTGGATACTGCAACGTACTACTACTAGTAGTAGTAGTACTAGTAGTAGTAGTAGTACTACAAGTACTGAAGTAGCCTAGGCCCTACAGTACAGGCTACAAGCAGAAACAGAAATAATTAAATAATAATTATTAAATATTTACGAGGTAACATGGATTATTTAGCTCTCCTGATTGTTCTTTACATCTCCTAGCATTCCTCGTTATCTCGTTATTTTTCGTATGTTTGTTTTCTTCTACCATGGTATTAGTGATTAGAATGATTATAACGACTTTGTTTTGATTTTCTATGACAGCTTTGTAGGCGCTGACATCTTGCATGATGTCAGCGCCATCTACCAGTTGGTAGTTTTATGTTTCGGCAATACCAAATTAAAGATCCTACACATATATAATAGAATATATATATTAAACGTTCAACGCTCGTATGATATTTGGTTATGATATTTATTTATTTATCATCTAAACAGCTTTGCATAATTACAACGTATACCGGGTGTTGCGTACAGTTTGATTCGTGTCCCAGGTAAAAACAAGCCATTTCCCAGATCTCAGCCCTTTTAAATGTTTAAAATCCTAACATTGTATCTGGTATATCCGGGTTTCCGGATAAGTAAAATGGTCTAATCCCCTATACTGAAAATAATTACTGTTCCCCTTTGATATTTTTACCTTAAAATTATAGTATTGTAATACAACGTGATATAGTTCTAAAGTTCGCATCACAAAATGTTCTCACTAAAGCTCTACCCTTTAAATTGACACAGGTGGGGCGAGAGGTAGCAAGGTACAAAGTTCATTTGTAGAGAAATGGGGACTATATTGTGTACACGGGGAGCTAGGTCGTCATTCATGCACTCACTTGCGAATCCGGAGGGGCTATTTTAATTACTATGTTTCATATCAGGGCTAATATCTTATGTCGATAACATGTATACATATACATATTATCGGGAGCAAATTAAAAGAAACATTTGTTTTTAATCACTCTTGATATTGTGGACTATAGTGTTCATTTACATTGTTGGAACGAAACTAAAATCATAACCACTTCGTGCTAATATATATATATGTGCTCTAAAATCAACTATAGTCAACTGTCTGGAAGACGCTAAACGAGTGTGCCGTCTCGATTATGTGGTCACTACTTTGAATGCACCGTGTCAGCAAAACGTCATTTGTTTGGGCATAAATTTGCCACGCGCAAACACATATGTCGCATAGCGGCGGCAACACAAACATGTATGTATGTATGTATGTATGTATGTGTGTGCGTGTGTGTGTGCGTGCGTGCGTGCGTGGGTGCGTGCGTGCGTGCGTGTGTGCGTGCGTATGTGTGTATGTATGTATGTATGAACGGGAACCTTTAGATCGGTGTTTCCCTTTTTATTTTTGATAGTTTCCCACCGGGAGATTTTGTTCCGGAGCTTCCAGGCTGATTCTAAGTAATGTTTAACCTGCTCTACCCATATCTACCATCGGGAAGGGGGGCACCATATCTTTGTTAAAGTGGCATATACATGCAAATATACATTTTTATGACACACCAGCCTAATTAATATTTGCTCTCCCCTATAAATATATAATGTCTGCAAAATAATAATAACACTGACAGGTATTAAGTTACTAATGTGAAAGATTAATTGCACTTGAGATATTACTTATATCAATTGAACTACTCGTGCGTATACGTTAATTGTCTACTTTAGATGTATATCGATTAACCTACGAATTTTTCTTATTAGTTAATATGGGGTATACTTGAACAAATGATTTAGACTCTGCTGCAGTATAGAGGAATTCGGGATGTTTGTGTGCCTGTAAATTATAAAAATAAAACAGTGGGAATTAAAGTAATGAGGAGCCCAATTTTTCATTTGCTGTCGATGCCTCGATTACTTTAATTAAAACGAAAAGGTGCCAATTAAGTCTTCTAAACTAAAAAGCCTAGTCCCTAAAACGTGGGATATAATATAGAGTATATGCATACTATCTAACAGAAGCAACCAGATATTGCTAATATTATAGATTTAAGATAGAGCTAGGGCACATAGTATGGAATAGCTTTGTATGAAAAATCTTAATCCCATTGCCTTTCAAACAATTATGATGAGTTATCTTCCCAACAAACACATCACTGCAATTTGCATAACTGGAGCTTGTTGTGTTGTGCTGAAATGTGTTTGCCTGATTATATTTAGTGCTCAGTGACACTGACAGCAAAGACCATAAACAATAAGACGAGACACGCGCTATGCTACTCCCATGTTATGTTCCATGTTAAACGAGTCTACTTTCTTAGCATTCCATTATACATGCATTACATTATAGCATTGACCTATGCAATCAGTTTGTATTTGTGGCCTCGTGTGCTGCCGACTCTACATTGTAGATATAAGGACACATCTTGGTTGTAGCTATTGAACATCTTGTATGTTTCTATCATGTCTCAGTGGAGACGTCTATAAGCTAAATTATTACGCTAAGAAGTCATTATTTCATGTGCTTTGCATATTTCTGTATGAACATGCCATTGACTGTGTCATACGGCTGCCTATTTTAAAACTAATGCTCATAACATTTTGCACAACATTTTTAAATAGAGTACACAATTCAGTGTCAACATGGTTACTTTTAACGATTAAAACATGGTAAATATCATACATGCTAATGATCTTTCCATGGATATTGCTGCTGGTGATCACAGAACACCTCAAACCTCAAAAAGACAACTTCTTAGCTGCTACATGTTTAGAAGGCTCATGGCACGCATCACAGCTTTCAATGCCTCCCTCTCTGTTTGTTGGCGCTCATACTACTACTAGTTGTAGCATATAGACTAATAGAAATACTAGTAATAGTCTTACTCTATAATAATTTGTATCCCGCTTGACCAATATTTCTTTTTCTCAAGTGCCTTGTCTTATTGTACTACCTTATTTGCTGTCAGTTACACTTATATTTAGAATGCATCTGCACTGTGGTGAGGCAGTGTGTTGTGGATGAGTATTTGAACTAGTAATAGTATAATCACATCTCTGGAATATCTCACACCCCTGGAATGCTGGGCGAAAAACTGGGGGATGCAGTTCAATGCAAAGAAGTGTCATATCCTGAGCACTAGAAACACGTCTCAGTATATGTACAGCCTCTGTGGTGAAATACTCAAGACCGTGGAGACCAATCCATACCTAGGTGTTCAGCTGGCCAATGACCTCAAACGGTACCACCACATATGAATAACCAAGTTAATTTTTACTCAACCGTGCTGGTATGAAACGTACCGCTGACGTT